CAGATTAAATATTTGCAAGAAGCTGTAATTGGAAGATGATTGCAAAATTACAGGAATAATACTTTTTATGTAGAGTGTTCATTTTATCAAAGGCTACAATTCTTTACATCATTAAAGACATTTCATTAGTTGGGCTTAATATTTATGAATTAGATAAGAATGGGTGGAGAGTGGAACTAGGAAAAAAGACATAATTAATTTTAAGCACAATTTGTTCTCTAATATCTACTTTCCTATATATTTTTAACACAAAACAGTATTTCATTAACATCAACTAACTTAGTGTCACTATAAATAAAAACTATTACTTTCTTAGATTTGTGGAGTAATCATAGGGATGGCTCAACACTAAGGATCTCTGTTTATTCTACCAGAATGATATTATTTCAGTTACTTTTGTGCTCAAAATGTACAAACTCATGTACCTTTGTTTTCAATTGAAGAGAACTTGAACCCTTCCATTCATTGTTAATATTCGTATCTCTTGATACTCTTTACTGCAAATCACAGATTTTGCCAATGCACGGTGGCACTGATGTCACCGTGCATAATTTAAATCCATACCTTGTAAATTTTTATAATCAGAGCAGCCTCATGTATAATGTTTTGAAGCTGAATTACCTACTAGAATTGTTTAAAACTTTTTATTTATTAAAACCTGCAATATTCACCTTAAATTAGAGATACTTAATGGATGTAAGTAAATTAATTAGTGTGTTGTGAGTCACATTTCCATTCCTCATAAGTGTTGCAGTAAAATGCATAAAAACTCTATAGTCTGTCTTATCTTCCTGAAAGGAGAATACATGCTTATAACATAAGAAATCAAAGCTTAAAACATTTATTTGTCACTTTATGGAGAAAAACTACCTATATTCAATATTTTCATATGTTACTTTTAGAAAAACCAGTATTTTTTTTTAACAAGATTTGGGTATAATGAACACTAACTACAAATTCTCTATAATTTCTTGGTGCTTTCATCCCCTTTTTTGTTCTAAAATTATGTTTTGTGAATTGGAAACACAAATTTAAAGAATAACCTGAGCAAATAAACTTATGGGTAGTTTTTGAGGTTTTTAATAATTTAGAATTTGGCACTGTACCAGGATGAATAAATATTAACATTAATATTTATATTTGGTTAAGAGCATAGCATGATGAGTTATTTATGCTAAACTATCACATAAAACCACTTTGACAGTGATAGAGCAGAGCACTGTTCAGAAATTATTGTCACTAATGGAAAATATAAGGATTTATAAGTTTTAGGCAAGTGCAGACAAAGGAGTTATAATTTTTATGATCCTGTTTATGAAGCCTGATACTCAGTTTTCACCTTTACATTTACTGATTTTTTTTTTAAATATAAAAGCTAAGGTGGACCCATGCCTAACCTTCATCTCCAAGATGTCTAACATTTCTGTATCCCAATAGTTAACAATTCACCATGGCTGTCGAGGGAGGAGCAAGGTAGGTGGGTGAACTTGTAACCATTTAGGGGGATGTTTTAGTTTTTTGGCTCTGTATTTTCCCACAATACTTGAAACAGAGCTTTAAGACTCTTTTTAAAACTGTTGAGTGATTGATTTTCTTGTTAGAAAGACAGTTCATTGGTGATTTCTGAATAGGCAGAAATTAACGGAGTACTGGCAGGGATGTCCTTTTGGTAACAATTTTTTTTTAAATGTAGAAGGTGGGATATTGGTTAGAAATGTTTAACTTAAGTCATTTAATTGGAATTTGTAGAGAAAATTTAGAGCAATGATTTGATTAAGAAAAACCATCTAAGAATATTCAGACACTTTATACTTTCAAAGGTAGTCATATCTCAGAGAGCAAGCTATTATTTTTTAAAGTTTAGCAGGCAACAGAAATTTAATACTTGTAAATGATAGAATCTAGATTTTTTTTTTTAAATAAAAGCCCCTCCTTGTCTACAGCAAGAATAAAACCAGAGTTAAATCCTCCCAAGCTGTGGACCTATTGCTCACAGTGGCAGCTGTGCTCCTGTTTGGGAAAGTGGGATTTTATGCAGAAGCATCACCGAAAAGCTAACACTTAGGTGTTCTTTGTAATAAACAACTGACAGACTACTTTACAAGGAGCCTTGCATAACCACACTGTGCTATCTCCCTCTTTTCCTTCCTAGGTTCTCCCCCTTTACAGATAGAAAACATCCCTGAACTCATAGGATGCCCTCCCACAGACAAAGGTACAAAGTTTTGTGGGCCATCAAGCTGCAACCTCCTCCTGTTTAAGAGACAGAAGGGCATGGCTGGAACTTGGGACATGGTCAGAAAGGTTGTGCTGCAGGGCAGGGCAATGACCTCAAGAATCAGAGCCTCTTCAACACCCCACTTACCACACAGCTTCCCCAGAAATAGTCTCAAATGCCCTAAGCAGAGGCAGTTTAGTCTCCTCTCAGGGTAGGTCGTCCATACACCCACAGGGAAACTGCTCTATCCTAGACATCCTTTGTGTCTGGCGAATGACCTGACTCAGGACAGTTGCCATCTCCAAAAGCAAATTGTGAAGCTAAAGCTCTGACAGGACCACTTGGCAATGGAGACTGTGTGTGTTGTATGGAGTAGATGACATGTTCACAAGCAAAGGGCAAAGCCAAGTTTAATGGCAGCTCCTCCCCCAGCAGAGTCTGTTCCAATGGTCTGCTTAGAGCCCTGTACAAGGGAAAGATGATTTGATTCTTCTGTCTCATGTCTTAATTGACACTCAAGTTCAACTATTAGAAGACTTCTGGATAGTCTCATTCTACATGCTCCCTCCCCAGGGGAATACCAGGCATTGAACCTCCAAAAAGCTTCTTATTTCATCTTTAATGAACAAGCAGCCAAAAGGTGGGATGAACAAGGCATTGACTGCAATGAGTAAGAGATAAGCATTAGAGAGGCAAAATGGCTAGAGAGACACTGACTTTTTCTTTACCAACTTCCCTTCAGGCTGCCTCAGGGGAGTCATCTCGGATTAGACCTAGTGAACTGTCCTGGGCAGCTTGGTGACCCCGATCTTCTCTGAGACAAAAGTGTGGGTTCACACTGGGAATAGTTCTTGCCTTAAATCCTTCAAGCCAGCAGCCAGGGGTCTTCTAGGGAACCCAGCCCTGAAGCAGCAGCGGACGTAGAGGGTCAAGGTAAGCACAAGGAAGCTGTGCTCTCCTCCATCCCTCTGTAGTTTAAGAGGTACACAGCTCAACTACAGGATTAGTGCAGGGGGATCAACTGTGGCACGTGGTTTCTGGCCCCCCAGGTAGCTTGAACCTAGCCATGGGGGAGGGGGATTGTTGGGGCTAAACAAAAAGCCAAACCCTTAGCTGGCAGCTTCAGTTGGGAGTGAAGGGAACCGAAAGGAAAGAGTGTGAGATGGTGAGGTAGGTCAGAAAAAGATAAACAAAAACTCAGTTTCTCACTAAGTAAAGGCTCTATCGGCGCCAATTCCTGTAGTACAATTTCTTGAAAGAATTCGGAGAGTGGAGCATGTGACTATCCCATGACTGGGACAATCAGCTGTTGTCACTGCACACAAACACAGAGATCCTAACTTGCAGTGTCAATCAAGACACTCACCAAAACACCTTTGTCCCTTATTCCCACGGGTAATGGACAACTTTCCTCCATCCTCCTTCCTTGACCTACACAGCCCAGGCTCCAAGGCGGTGGCCCCAGCATCTGTATGCCACTGGGGTCAAAGCAGTCCTAGAGCTCTTCGAGGATGGTCAGGTTGAGGGGTCGGGCCCACTCCCCCTTAAAGGGAGTAGGGGCAGTGCATGGGATTTGGCAGCGGGGTGATTGAAGATTGACATTTGTGGGCCCTATTCTAAATGTGTTCTGCTATAAGCACTTCCTCCCAGGAGGCAGAAAGGTTCAGAGACTCAACTATCACCTATTTCTGTTTTTAGGGTCTGGAGGGACTTGGGAATCAGAGAGAAAAGTTCCCATAGGAACACAATATACCATGGAGGGGACATTTGGATGTTGGGGCTGAGTGTCCCTACTTGTGCAGATGTCCAAGTCAGGAGGGCATCCGATGGCTTCTTTAAGAGGGAAGTTGCGCCCTATTGTAAAGTGAGAGAGGAGGGGTCCAGGACACTGAGCACAAGCAATTTGTACTACAGGAGAGGCGATCTACAAAGTGACTCCTGAAGTCCCACCTGGTCAGCTGGGCAGGTAGCCCCAAGTGAAGTCAGAACAGGTGACACCCCTCTGTCATCCCAGCGGATCACTTGAGCAGCATCGTTTGCCCTGAGGTCTCACCGCCGCTGGTGGCAGTGGCCCTGGACAGAAGGTGCACTTAGCTCTAGTTCCCACTGCGGCCCTCTATCTCACAAAATAGACCGAGCCCCTGGTTTCTCGGACACAGCCTCTAGTCTCCTGAACTTTCTCCTAGCAACTCTTTTTGGGGAGGGGCCTCAGCCAGAGTGAAGCAGAAAGGGAACAGGGGATCTGGGGAAGGTCCTGCCATGGGCATCTGAGTCCAATTTTCGGGAGCATCCCGTGTTTACTAATCTTGAGAAGGGACACGCACGTAGACTGGGATACTCCTGAGTCTGGCAGTTTGGCCCAGTGTTATCCGGCTTGTTCACCTGCGGTCAGAGACCACAGCGTGGCCCCGACTTCCAGCTGCCTCTACGCAGTCATCCCGCTTCCTGTTCTCCTCTATCCAGTGTCCTGTGGCGCACCAGAGAGTGACGCGCAGAAAAGATTCAGAGCAAATCCAGAACTGAGAGAAGCGACTAGCGCTGTCCCGGTCTCCAAAAAGCGCCCTCCCGCGTCCTGCCGAAGTCCCGAGCCTTCTACACATTCCCACAACTTTCCAAGCCCAGGCCATTTGCAGTCCCACCTGCGAACCGAACTCGGGGCGCTGCGCGTAGCCAATCTCTCTTCCCTTGGGCCGAGAACGCTCTCCTCCCCCCAACCCGCAGCTCCAGGTCTGGCTAGAGTTGACTGGCCTTGGGGACCCTGGGCGCCCGTGGGCTCGCTTACCTCGCATGGTGTGGCCGCTGTCCTGCTCCGCGTAGTCATGAAGCTCCCAGCCCGAACCCCAGAGAACCCAAAAATCCCGCTCAGCACGAGGGAAGAAGACGGTCCGAGAAGAGCTGCTCTGCCGAGACAAGCATCCCTTTAGGCAGACGTCGTGGCCACAGCGTGACGGTGGCCGCCGCCGCTATGCTAACAGTTTTGATGCTGTTGCTGATGACTGTTTTTGATGGCTGTTTGTTTGTTTTCAGGCAGGATGGAAAAAAAAATGTTCTGGCTGGCTGGTGCCCGCGTTTTGTTTTGCTTTTGTTTGTTTGTTTGTTTCTTTTTTCTTTCTCTCCAGTGTGCTTGCTTAAAAAAAAAATGCCACCGCCTCGGGCTCGGAGATTTCTTTTGTGATCACTTGGACTGAGGAGGAGGAGAAGGGCAGCCACAGGAGGAGGAGTTGGTGGTGGTTTTGTTAGTTACAAAGAAGAGGGAGAACGATCAAGGGGGAAAAAAAGGAAACAGAAAAGAAAGAAAGGCAGTGTGGATGGCAGAGCATGTGCGTTTTCACATGACATCTGTGCCTGTTAGCGGATCCACAATGTGAATTTTCACTGTTCAGTTGCAGAGAGGAAGGGAGCGAGAGAGAAAGAGGAGAGAGGTGGAGAGAGCGAGCGCAGAAGAGGCTTATACGCGAGGGCGGGTTTGGCCGTACTTCCTGGCCCCGCCTCCTGTCAGCGCCATGGCCAATCAGCGCCCCGCAGCTCGTGGAAAGGCTGGGAAGGCGGGGGAGGGGAAGGCTTCAGGACAGGGGGCGGGGCCGTGAACTCTGGTGTCCTAGGCGGTGGGGACCCAGACTGGGAATTAGAGATGGTCCTGTCTGAGGTCCGATCGGGGCCGAGTGTGGCGTGCCTGGGGGTGAGGCAGATCTGTGAGTGACGTTCACTTCTGACTCCAGTAGTTAGAAAGGGAGACTGGGTTCTTTGCAGGCAAGAGCCGACGGGACCCGCCGGCTGGCTGCACCCTCTGTCCCTCTCTCACATAGCCTTTGGAGAGTTTCGTATTTACAGCAGCGCTTTGCAGAGTCTCTTAACGTCCGGTCCTCTGGCAGGGGTTGACTGAGTCAGGACACTTCAGCCTTCAGAGGTAGACTACAAAACCACACCCCTCTAGCTCTGGGCAGCTTCTTTCAGAGACTATTCCAATGTTTCCCTCTCTTCACTCTAACTGACTAGCCTCTGGTCCTCCCTTCCTCCCCTCCTTTCCCTCCCTTCTCTCTCCCTTTCTACTTCACTTTCCCTTCCTTCTCCTTAGTTTCAGGTTCCTTTGTCAAGGACATGAACTTTTTTAGCATTCGGAAATCCTCTGACCTCTGGTTTCAGGATTTAAGGACAGGCTCATTTGGCTTTGTGGTCACCTCAGTGATAGGTCACTTGGCAAAGAGCCTCGAATAGAAGGCAAGACAGTGTGGCTCTGTTCAATTGGTGAAGGTTTAAAGAGCAAGACACGTGGCTAGTTGCTCTTCTGAGACACCCATTTAGGGGAGCTTGACACTAAAACAATAGTGGTGCTACTCATGTTCCTTAGATGAAACTTGTCACCCATGACAGTTTACTTGCATTCTGAAAATAACAACAGCAACAAAAAACAAAAACAAAAACGAAGCACATTTGCCAAACTGTTTCTTTGCATAGTTTTCCTCTTAGTCGATGAAGCAAACACATCATATAGATGAGTGGCATCATAATTTCCTTCTGTGTAGTTAGGGACCGTATTAATAATTTGCATAATCGGTCATCACAAGACTGAAAGTGTAAAAGTTTGCTTGATTGTTCAGTTAGAAAGCTTGATTGTTCAGTTAGAAAGCACAGAGATAGAGACAGGACTCAATTGCACACCCATTGGAAACAACTGACTTTTTTTTTTTTTTGCAAGTTTTATTCATTCTACTTTCTGTAACACAAAATATGTTGTAGAATGGTGGTTGTTCAGTCCTGTGTATACATTGTCAATTAGTTGCCCCTCCAATAAGAAATGAATCACTCCTTGAATCTTCACCAGTGTTCCCTTCTGTGTGCCTTTCCATTTGCAAGCCCATGTGTAATTTAGGAACATTTTGTGGAAAAAAGGAAAAATTGATTGAGTCATTAATTAAATAAAACGAACAAAAGGAAAGTATTATTCAGGATAGCTATTCCTATTAAATACCTTTCTCCTAGATTTTTAATTGACACAGTAGTTAATCTTTTAAGATAATATTTAAGGCTCCCTAGTTTTTATCATTTTTAATCAAGTAAAATATATTCATCATAACTACATTAAAGCTGCAGTAAGTTATGCCTAATTTAGTTGCTTCATTAAAAATTACTGCATATAAAATAGTTAAGAAACAAATTGTGACTGTAACATTTTAATTTTATGAACTTCAAGCAGAGTCATAAGAATAGTGAAAATTTTAAATCCTTTGTAAACATTGTAATTGCTATTGTTATTATTTCTTATTTCTATTTCTCATTAAAGAGGGACTTTTAAAATCCAAAAATTTAACTCTTTTATGTATTAAGTTTCTAATCAGTTATTGAATCCTAAAATGTATTTTTGTTGATGGAATATCTTCTTTAGCCTTTGAAAAAGACACTAAACACATATATGGAATGAACTCCTCTATGCCCATTTTTATGTGCTTTTGTTTTGTTAATCCAAGTTTACACATTTATCTTTAAAATATATTTGATTTTATCCAGCCATTTACATCATATATCTTGATCCCATTAATTTCCCAACCCCTTCTCATCTGTCCTCAGCCCCTGCACTCCACCCCTACCCCCAAATAGAACAACATTTGAGAGAAAAAAGAAAAACAAAAAGGGGAAAATTTAAAATCTCACCATGGAACCTGCAGTGTGACACAGTGAGTCATGCAGTAAACCCCCTTTTCCATGTCCATATACCTTTACTTGCAAGTGCTCATTGCAAAGAGTTATTGGTCTGGTTTGAGGCCTCTGGTTTCTACTACACTAGCGATGTAGGTACTGACTAGCATTCTTGATGTCCTGTTATTGCCCTGTATTTTAAAGATCCTACAGCTTTGGATCAAAATCATGCTAGTATATAAATAAAGACTTATTTCAATTTTCTAAACTCTATACACATGGCGATGCAGAAGTATTTATTTTCTTTTTTTATGGTAACATAAGCACTGATCTTTGGCTATAATCTAGTGATCTGGGACATTTGGGGCCCTGCTAAAATTTTAAAAATAGAGTTTGTCAATGTTTTTTTTTTTTATATAACTTTTACGTTTATTTCAACTGAATAGGACCCATTTAGCAATCAAGAATAAGTTTTCAGAATTCTAATTAAGGAAGCCAACATTTTCTAAGAGTTTACACAATACTTGTATACAATGTGATGTGTTTATAAACATCTCATAACAAATGTTCATATTTCAAATTGTATAAAATAGTATAGTCATAAAATATTCTTGTTCACATATAATACAGTGTGAGTAATTTTGTTAGAATGATCATGGAGCTGAGTAATTATAGGGTTTATACTCTGCTTTTGATTCTGGGCCTTGGGTATGTTTTGTTGGTGGACCAATTTTGATTAATTTCAATGACAATTAGAGACACAACACTGTACTCAATCTCAACATAAATATTATTTCACTTAGGGCTGCATGTGCATCTACTGTCTGTAATGTTGGCACTCCTCAGGTAAGGCCTCGGAGTATTTATGATGTGATATGTACTGAAGGAAACAAATCTTTAATATAAGCGAGCCAGGTAGTGTAAAGATGATGCTTAGAGTGATGGCAACCCTAAAATACTTGAAGAAAAGGAGAAAGTCATGATTCATTATATTTGACACTGGTTTAGTCTATATATGAAGAGTGTTTACATAGTTATAAACCTTGGAAGAATGTTGGCAATGTTGACATCTGTACTAGGAATGACTGGAAGATTGGCTGTCTTTAGCACCATTCAGTAAGCCGTGTTACTAGGGTGTGTGTGTGTGTGTGTGTGTGTGTGTGTGTGTGTGTGTGTGTGTACCTTTAAATAACATAAAGGTCAGTAAAAAAGAAAATTTCACACTTGAGACTATTGAATATGGAAAAAATAAAGCTTTGAAATACACATTAATAAAGGCATTCAAGACAGGGATCAGTGAAAAGTTTTGATGAAGATGCTTGGACATATATTTCTGTTCTAGGTTGGATGTTATCTGGTATACCTCTAAAGATCCTCTGGGGCTCCAGACTTTTACTGCTCTAGCAGCTGCATCTGAGTGGTGCTGAGCCTCCTACTTAAGAGGGTAAGCTTTAAGGGCACAGGAGTCTAGGATTCCTGGAGTCTATGAGTCCTCTTTGGGCACCATAGGTTGCACAACTGTAGTCAGACAGAGAGATTTCTACTCAGTGGATGCTAATAGCAAATGGAGACAAGAATTTCTTGCTTTTTAAACTCTCAAAAATTGGGGAAGAAAATGTAAGGGTTGAGATTGCTTACTTAACTACAAAAGTAAATTTACCTACTTTTATATTCATTATTATTTTTCATTTCATTCACAGAATCTTTATAATGTTAGCACTTTCAGCTTTTCTTCCTTTTAACGTTAGGATACATATTTGACAAGTATTGAAAGAAAAAATGTAAAGCAAATATAAAATGTGTAGTTTGTGCATTACAATAAACGAGAAAATGCAGCATGGGCTAAATAAAACACAAATTAATCCCAATGAACAAGGGTAGAAATGAGGAAGACAAGGTTCAGAGAAAGAAAAACAATATATAGGTAAGAAAAAGAAGAGATAAGAAGAGCTAATATTTGCTTTATTGGATGAATCATATAATTTCTGTCCCTCTCTAGAGCTTGACCGTTCTGTGTTATATCCCTGACATCAATGTCCCCAAAAAGCAACAGAAGCTTAGGAAGCTCTGTGTCAAAGAGCCCAAACCTGAAAATGCTGGATCCAAAGTTCAAGCTAAGGTATAAAAACTAAAATGTAAATTCCAAGAGTATGGGACCTGCTTTGATTTTATTTATGTTAGCGCTAAATAGACAGAGTTTAGAATTTTGCTTGGCAAAAAGTAAATGGTTAAAATACACAAGTGAATAAAGAAACAGTCATTTGAGCCCAGGCCCTTCACAGTACAGCCTTTGCAGGCTCTACTTACTAAATGACAGTGAATGCAGGACAGTGAATCTTGACTTGGGAAATAGGATACCATGAAAATGTATCAAACAATAATAGCCCAAGTAGGTTCATCACAGAAGTTAGAGAATTAATTCATAATAAATTTTTCATATCAGAGATAGTGTCACCCAGAATTAAGCTTGCACCAGTAAAGATGAGGGGTGGGGGTGGGAAGGTAAGCATGATTCGGGAAGTATTTTGCAGGTGGAAACTCTGATGTCTCCTGATGACTATAGGGAGCAAGGAGATGGGGTCAAGGAGGAGACTAGCCATAGTCAGGAGAGTAAAGAGTGTGGGAAGAATGAGCATGTCCAGGGAATAAGCATGGCAGAGAAGTTCTTTAAATAGGAAGCCATTGTGATAAGCTTGAGTTTTCTATATGTCATCTGTAACATCCAGCAGAGTGTTGTGCATACAGAGTTAGAGAGAGATGTTGGTTAAAGTGGCAGTGAGACCCTAAGGACATTCAAACACTGAGGA